AAAATGGCTAATTTTGATTATATAAAATTAAAAAGTTTTTGCACGAATAAAAAGAAACAAAAATGAGAACTAGGAAATTGTGAGACAACTTTGCGGGAAGTTTTTCTGATAAAGGTCTCATTTCCCAAATATACAAGAAACTGAGCAAAATTTATAAAAGTCATTCCCCAATTGATAATTGGTCAAGGGATATGAAGAAATCAAAGCTATCAATAGTCATGTGAAAAAATGCTCTAAATCATGAGTAATTAGAAAAATGCTAATTAAAACAATTCTGAGGTACTACCTTATACCTATCAGATTGGCTAAGATGACAGAAAAGGAAAATGACAAATGCTGGAGGGGATGTGGGACAAAAGGGACACTAATGCACAGTTGGTACAGCTGTGAACTGGTCCAGCCGTTCTGGAAAACAATTTGGAACTATGCCCCCCAAAAAGCTATTAAACTTGTACATCCTCTACCCAGTAATACTACTACTAGGTCTACAACCCAAAGAGATCAAAGGAAAAAAGGAAAGATTCATATTAAAACATTTAAAACAGTTCTTTTTCTGATGGCAAAGAATTGGACAATTGAGGGGATGCTCATTAATTAGGCTGAACAATTTGTGGTATGTGATTGTGATGGAATACTATTGCACTATAAGAAATGATGAAGGGGATGGTTTCAGAAACACCTAGGAAGACTGATATAAATTTACATATAGTGAAGTGAGCAGAACCAGGAGAACAATTTACAGTTGTAACAATAATCAACTGTGAAAGACCAAGTAACTCTAATCAACCCAAAGACCCACCAACATTACCAAAAGACTCATGATGAAAAACACTATCCGCTTAGTTGACTTCATATTTTAATAGGTGTTGTATCTCTTGCCTTCTCAATGGGTGGGAAAGTGTGGCAGGAAGGAAAACAGTCTGGAACTGAAGATAATATTGAATAAAAAAAAAAAAGGTAAATTGGTTCTCTAAGAAGGTAGTGGGTTTTCTTTCTCATTAGAGGTCTTCAAGCAGAGAACTAGATACTTTCTTGTTTAGCATGTTATATAGACGGGCCTTTCTTTTGGAACTGGGTTGGCCAACTCTGAAATATATACTGATAGAGAAACTCAATGGATTGGCTCCAACACTTGCGTATTACAACATTAGCAATGAGGGTTTTGCTGTTGTCACTGTTAAGTCTTTATCCAAGGTTAATGTTTAGGCTGGCCTCTTTTAGATCACTATGGATTTCACTGAAGTGACTTTGCAGCGTTCCAAGCCTCCACATGGTCAGTGCAATATCCTCTGAGAACGGGAGCATCTGGAGAAGCTTCCACTTGGCCTCTCTGTGGAGCATCCTTGGTGATGCTGCAGGGTCTCTAGGTGAGCAGATGGCCATCCCTGTTTTCTCCCTTGCTCAAATCTGATACTCAGCAATTCTTTGAAGAGTGTGCTTTCCTCAGTTGAAGTTGTAAGAGAATCTGATGTGATGCGAATATATGCATGGGAAACACCGTGTTGTAACAGCGCCTGTTAGGGCTGCGTTTTGTTCTCTACTCTTTGGACACTCCTTTTGTATTGCCCGAAAATGATCACGTATCATCTACACGTTTCTGGCACCTATGTGAGCATGCATCCCAGCTCATCGAACATGCATTCAGTGTTGGGTCCCGGAGACACAAAGAACAAATGAACTTGCTCTTCACACTTGCTCTCAAGGAACTTAGGTTACACTGGAATTGGGAAGACACACACACACACACACACACACACACACACACACATAAATAAATATAAATATATATAAAAAACATAAGTATTTGTTTGGGTCTAGTACCTGGCATATATGCACTTAACCAATGCTTCAATCACATGTCACTCATGGAGAAAACTCCCTGTGTGGAAACTCCCTCTACTAAAGCATATAAGAGGTTGTACTATATTTATCACATCAGAGGCAGTACAGGTCTTCCTGTCCCCTACCTACTTTGAAACACTGGCTCACAGTTAAGGATGATGAAATATAAATATCACTATTTGAGGAGAGAGGGAGCACTACCAAAGGAATCAGCAGAGGCGCAGGAGGTGACAGGTGAATTGATTTTTAAAGATTGGGGATTCTAAGAGGCAGAGACCACGTGGGTTAGAGTCACAGAGATGGGAAACAGAACTAGATGTTGCAGTGGATAGGGCACCAGGCCTGGGGTCAAATTTGTCTTCCCGAGTTCAAATCCGGCCTCAGACCCTTACTAGTCGTGTGACCCTGAGCAAGTCACTTCACCCTGTTTGCCTCAGTTTCCTCATCTGTAAAATGAGCTGGAGAAGGAAATGGTAAACCACTCCAGTATCTTTGCCAAGAAAACTCCAAATGGAGTCACACAGAGTCGCACATGACTGAAAAACGACTGCACATACACATGATAAAAAGTGTGTGTGCGTATAACGCAATGTTTTAAAAGGGTCCCTATCCTTTTCACTCTCCTACATGTTAACTGGGTAGTTGCCTATCACTCTCCAGTCCCACTTCTGCACAGTAATGTGTTACTTTAATCCAACTTGTACATACTTCCAGTAATGTTGCATATGATTAAAGTTCACTTCATCAACACCAACTGACATGTCGCCCTTCCAGTTTTATCAGCAAGTGTTCTCAGGGTCATCTGGCTTAACTGTACCACAAAACAAACTTTCTGCAGTCTGGTTTTCCCCTCTGCTACTTCTCGTTGTTTTACAAGATGATACTGTTCTCATGATGTTCTGTCATCTTTCTGTGTAACGTTTTGCAAACGAGCAAATGAGTACCCCCATCCAAAAAAAAAAAAAAACCAAACTACAGCGTCACTCAATGGTAAAATCGCCATTGCCTCATTTTTAAATGTTCTGAATCAGTTATAATCATCAAAAAACTGCAGAATAGCCAGTATCTTTAATTGTGGTCACTTTTCAGAGTCAAGAACCCATTTTAATAGGCAATGTGGGATTGTTACCATTATACTTTTTCTTTTCTTTAGGCTTTCTCATTACCTTCTGATATTTAGCTCCAAGTTGTTGTCTGTCACTACGGTGAACCTCACTTTTTCTGATGTTCTTCTATGCTCTCGATTTCGGGGGCCCTCCATATCTCTTCTTGAAGAAAATTCCCATGACGTACAAGCAGAGGCTTATGAGTAGTCTACAATCCCAGTTACCATTGTTTTTCCCCCTTGATCCTGAACCAGGTTTTTCAATACAGCTGAAGTCATCAGTGTCCAAGTGTCAAGTCGATCTGGTTTGCAGAGTGTTGTAGGGTTACTTATATTATCTCTCCTTCATCCTCTTCGAGCCGCAATGGTCTTTATGGCGACCCGCCTATTTTTGTTCATTCTGAACCCTACAAGGCGAGATGCTCATCTTACTTTCATCGATGTTTCTTGCTGTTTGGGGAATATGATGGAAACACCTTTATCAACTCCTTTAACAGAGGAGAATGTGAGCTGCCCTTTCTTCCCATTGAGGTGTGTAATTTTTTTATATCTTCTAAGCTTCATTTATAGCAAGAATATGTAGCTATAGTTCACCTCCTCCAGAAGGGTGTCAATTCATTGGCTGTGAAAACACAATACTCCAATGATCTGTGATTTCAGTTTATTGTGAGGATCAAAATTCCAGAGCGTGTCATGTGTAATCATTCCCGATGAGGTCATAAGCTACTTGACAAAAGGGACCATGTTTTATTTCTTGGTACCTCCTTCAGGAGTCTAGCACTAAACAATAGCAGAGAATGAAAATATCAGCAAACTAACCAAAAATCAAATTAAGACTACAAAGCAGATTGCTATTTGATAAAGGAAGCACTACTATACAAATAAGGAAACAGATCATCAAAAGCTTCTAGTAAATGATGACAGCCTCCCCAGCTTTTATTACACTTTTCTCTGTATCACACAGGCCTTTTAGCTGGAACTATGTGGCCCATCACTGAATGAGGGAAATTCTGAAACCCTCAAAAGACTTAATATCTGTGTGTATCTATCTTTCTGTCTCTAAAAATATGCAGAGGAACTAAAATTAAATTGTTGGTCTTCACTACAGGGAAATGAAAGTTGTACTTGTAGGTAATTTTGGCCAAAAACCACAAGAAAAACCCATTTGTCAGAAAACACAAAGAAATTTCCCAAATGTTCATTACAGTTCAGTAAGAATGTGGGAGAATATTAACAGCTGTGGAAACAAGTGAATTCTGAGAGGCTGGTTGAGAGTGATCAGGATTCTTCATCAATCTGTTAGACGGGGAGAAAAGGACCATCGTGTGTATGTGTGTGGGTGGGTGGGGGTGTCTCTAAAAAGCCCCTAACTCCTCACTAGTTTCTGGGAACAGAGCATAGTTTAGTAATGGGTCTTCTACACTTTACTCCAATAGGCTCCCTACAACTCAAGGATAGGGATGTGTGTCAGAAAACGGGAAGATGTTAGACACAGTGTTGTATTTCGGCCCTCAAAACTGCAAAGGGAAGGGGGGTGGGGGAGAGGGCAATTCACACTGGGAGGCGTGAATCACGTTCCTCACTTAGAAACCCTCGATTTCCAGCCACTTTATCTTCTCTGAACTTTAGATGCCATCAGAACATGGAAAAGTGGCCACAAAAGTGGCTTTTGGAATAAATTATGCGTGAGCTGTCAGGGAAGGAGGTTTTCCATGCATCCAAGCTGTCTTTACTTCCAAAGACACTACCAGAATCTTCAGGCTCCCTCCCATCACCTCCTACATAAATACAGCACTAGTCTACTGAACAACTGATAAAGTAATTTTTTTAAGTACACACCCAAACTCACCCCCCCCCACAAGAAATAGTGTTTTCCATACGAACCCAAACAAAGCACTTTTTGCCCATTTGTTTCCCAATAACGTATCTATGATATGCCACAGACAGTGACATTTACAAAGAGATTTCACCGAAATTAAATTGAATTCCTGAAGTCACATAAAGATACACAATGGCCCCCTCCCCCATCAAATGGACAGAGAATATTTCACAATTCATGTGTTAAATAATGTTTATTGTTCGTGTTATTGCCTACAGTCTCTAAGATGCAGCTTTATTGTGCCTTTGCAAAGATACATATATTTTTAAAAAATGGATCAAATTTCATACATATAGCTCTATATGATACATTACAGTGCAACACTATTTTTGTTACATAATTATAGAAATACTATCGACCCCTACAGCACAAAAGCAAAAGAAATACAATCCTGAGCCATATGAACAAGATAACTGGATGACGTTGCTTTCAACATAGGTTTACAAAAGAAAGTCTAAGAGTGGGGGGAAACACCACACATGCACACTGTCTGCAATCCTGAGGAAACTATACGCTAAACTCCTGGCCCTCCCAATAGACCTGAATTTGGAGGTCCTCCCTGTCCAATTTCACATCCACGCGCACACCCCCCCTTCACACACACACCCAGCTTCTCACACTCATCACACCCTCTCCCCACAAGAGGATTAGGCACTACTACGTCCTAGGGAACTCCATACCTGGCTTGTTGGGAAAGACAAATTACAGAAGCAAAAGCCTTAGCAAGTGTAGATTCCCACTAACTAGGAGATAGAGCTAACAAAAGAAATGTTGCTAAACAACTATCTTCTCCTTTTTCATTCCCTTCTGGGAGAAAATAAATGATATGATCACTGTAGCTGAAAACTGAGGGGGGCTGGGACAGAGAGAACGTCCTGGAAACAAAACTCAGTCTCTCCCTCGGTTTTGAAGTAAGAACGATAGCTGTAAAAATGCACACTGCAAAGCAAATGACTCGTCTACTATGAAAATACAGGTGTCATTCTACCAGTTTTTGGTATCTATCTGCCTACAATTCAACACCAAGGTTTCATGAATTTTGTACCTGCTTAAGGTAAACATGAATGTACTGTATGTATAAAACCTGCCCACACCTGAACTCCTCCTCAGGGCACCTCCCCAGTCTCCCCTGGAGGCAGCTGGCAATCAGTGCAGTCACAGAGACCGCCCTCATGAGTGATCCCAGTGATCTGGCTTCCATCCTATTGACAAAGTTAAGCAAACCACCCCTGCCCCCCGCCCCCCGCCCCCTCTTTGATAACCAGAGTCTGCTGACTAGACTACCTGACCCGGCTACCAGAAGCTTGTCCTGTGAGGCTAAGCAAACTCTCCTGGTTGAGAAACGGCCCATTCTAGCTCAGATGCTGAAGAAACATGGAAATGGAACACACAGCACAAGCGGTAACAGGCAGCTTAGGTCCCAGCTCTGTTACACTAGCTTTGGGAGAAAGGGAGCCACCCTTCCCACACACTGCTGTATGGAGGAGGTTAGTGTTTCTGGACAGAGCTGCTCTATGTAATCACAACAAAGGCTGTGTTTCTCTAGCATCATATTTTCAATTAAATACTCGCACACTTTATACACTCACACACCCTATGAATGTGAGGTGGCTCTTGCATCCCAAGAAGCACCAATACCCGTTCTTTTATATGTGACAAATCTTTCACCTTTAAAAGTAACTCAAATGATCACCACTAAAGCAAAAGCAATGGCATCTCAAAGGGATGGCAAACAAGTGAAAATGGTGACGACAACCCGAGTCACTCGAAAACTGTACTGGAAAAAGAGCTGGTCTGGCCATGGGCCAGCACTTGAGGCTTAGAGAATAAGGTCTTAACTGGCTTAGCATAGAAGTGCGGCCCATGTCCACGAATGACCAATGGCCAGGATTCACAAGGAAACTCGGAGAAACCATTTGGAAACAGCTTTGACTTCACACTATATTCCTGTGTTTGCTGTGAACCCTGTAAAAAAACCCCTGACTATCCCATGAGCATCTGACAGGTGGGAGGCAGGCCCTAGGCACCTTGCACACATCCACCACGCCCCTCTTCTGGACCCTGAGGACGTGAGCCTCTGAGGAGGACAAGCCATCTCATGTGTTGGTGAAATCTTACCAGAATCAGAAGGTCTTCATCTTCTTTGGTTACCATATACAAAAACTCAGCCCCTAGAGTCTTCAAATACTTTTCTCTGAAGCATCTAGTCTTAAGTGAATTGACAACACACGCTGTGCTTTATAAAGCATGTCTCCAGACAAAATGGTTTTGAAACTAAGTCATCATCTACACCAAAATTTAATTTCATATCCTAAGGCCCTAACGCTGCCCTAGGGGAATAGAAAGTCAAGTCCAAATGCTTCAGCTAAGTCATGTTCTCTACACACTTTTTACAAGCTATAAATCGAACAAAATTTTTAGCATTGGGATAAATAAAACTGGTAGCAAGTCTATGGCTTATGGTCTTGCAAACAGCATGTGTCTGCTCTCAGAAACGTCTAGCATGCCAAACACCGACAGCCTTTTTCTAGGTATTTTTAAGGTTTCCCATAAATTCTAAGTGTCATATAGGCATAGGAAGTTCCAAGAAGAGGACATGGTAAGAATCAAAGTAAATTTCGCTTGGCAGGGGTAGAAGGGAAAACTCTGGGGGCTAAACGTGTTGAGGGAAAAGTAGACAGTGTACCCTAATGACAAGAACTCCTTGAGACTGCTTCTTCCCTCCGTCGGCCATGAGCAGGCCCACACTCTGCTGGCTGCCAAGCGACTTGTGGGAGTTTTTAGCTGGGAGCAGAAGACAACACGGGCTTATATTTAGGGCAAAGAAGCAAAACCCTGTTATTTCAGATCTTATCCAAATTAACGTGAGAGCCAAGTAAATCCAAGATCCTGAAAACCTGCTCAACCAGCCAAGGAGGGTCTTGTGCTGCATCCCTGAGCCCCAGGCTAAGTTCAAATGGAATGTGGTGGCGTTCTCGGCCACCCAACCCTTCACGCCAAACGTCACCCACCTGTCAGAAAAGGTCCAAATGCTGTACGAGCAACTCCCCTACCAGCTTACCTGGTAAGTCGGGCCCCGCCCCACCCCACCCCAAGCGTTTTCAATAGCCACGTCAACCCTGAAGACGATGTCCCGAACGCCTCTTCTTCACTCCTCATGAAGAGTTTTTACACTGGTGTCCAGTTCCAAGTCCAACGAAACAGGATGTCAAAAATGTGGATTTCCCAATAACATTCTTCTCTACAACGCGTGACACCAGTACAACGAGGCCAGTGTTTTCTCTCCAAAGAGCTCTTCTCAACAGAGTTCGCAAGCAAAAGAAAGATTCTTTACAGTTACCTTTACATGCCATATGGCGAACTTTGGGACAGTGCATTGTTAGGAAAGCTCACAAGAGAACAGGGAATAATCTGAATCAGGAGCCGAGCACAGAGGCACAGTCAGTGAGGTGACAGACTGCAGAGAATAGTGTGAGCACATGATGCCTAAAATACAAATGGTCACAAGCAAATGTATTCTGAGTGACTGATTTAAGTTCACTTCTCATTCAAAGGGCTTAAACAACGCAGCTTACAACTTCAGCCTATGACTGAAATGTGCGTCTTCCCTTCAAAGAGACAGTAAAGAATTCCACAGCCTGGCACAGAACAACGCACTGAAAGGCCAATTCTCGAGGCCCGGGCCGCCCACGGCCCTTTTACTGAGCCTTCTCTGAAAACAAGCCGCCACACCCAACGCTGCCATTCCATTCTCTCCAGCAGAAGATGATGCGCCCTCCGCTCAGCTGTCATTCCACCAGCTGGCCCAGGGGCAGAGTCACAGACAGACAGACATCTAAGTGTGTGTGTGTGTCTGACTCCAGAAGAGCTGTGAGAAGAAGGGGCAGAGGGAAACAGCTGAAAGCAGACTCAGAATAGATCACAGCTTGTTTTCTTCTTTAAGCAAAAAATACAAATTAGTTTTATAACCACTATTCAATTTATCAAACTTTTTTCTGAATTATTTTTAATTATGTACACGTAACAGGAAATAAAACTTTTTCACAAACATTCTTCAAGGATGAAAATCATCAAGAAGAGGATGACAGAATAAAAGCAGGAGAAATATTCAACAGATGGGGGAGGGCGATTTCTCGTTTCTGCTCTTAAAAAGTAAAAAAATCACCATAGAATTAAGTACAAAAACCGGCATTGAATGACAACTGCTGGTGTATTTACTTGATCAGAAATGAAGACCAAGAGTGTAATAAAGCCCTGTGGTAAGGTAAATGCAGGAGCACTTGCCCTCGGGGTGGACACACTCAAATGCTGACCAGGGTTCCGGAGCATCTGCTTCCAGCAACCCAGGAGTCCGTAGTCCGTGGCAGCAAATGCAGCCAATAGTGTTGAGTCCTGTGCGATGCGCCTGCGACTCAAGGGTCACTTACAAGCGGCGTCTGAAGGGATCTCTTCAGAAAAAGATCTGTTTGGCATCTCCTGGACTTTGTTCCATCGGGCAGTAAGGACATTTTAACCTGGAGACAAAGACAAGACACTGGAATACTGCGGAATGCCAGAAGCCTGGGAGTGATCCCAGGAAGCAGCCTCCCTTTCCCTTGGCTGCACTCTTCTCTCCTCAATTCCCAACCACAGGACTCTAGGTCTGCCATCCATCCACATCCACACACGCTATTTACGCGCTTGAGAGCCAGCACTGTAGAACAGACCACTCTCTGCCCTCCCAGAGCACAGGCCAGGGAGCCAGGAGTCACAGAACGTCCAAGTGTGTTGCCCTGCCAGAGGCCAAACAGCCAATGTGCAGGAGAGGCTGGGCTCCTGCTCAGGCACTTCTGACGCTGGGATGAGGCTTCTAACAAGCGTGCCACACTAACTCTCAAACAAAAGAGAGACAGCGTAGCTTGGGGGAAGGGCCACCGAGGAGAAGCCAGGAATTGCCTTTTTGTTTTTAAAGAACAAAGCAATAAGACAGAAAGGTCTGAATTCTGGTACCCCTAGTACTAAGGGGAAAAGTGTGCAGTTCAGGGCATCCCCACCAAAGATTGATGGGAGAGATACAGAGGATGAGCCCAGCCCTGGCCTGAGGCGCCTTTGTTCCCAGGGTTTGGGAAGGGGTGGGCTGGAGGGGGGCACCCCTGCAAATGAACCACCCCGACCTAGCTCACCCAACATGGTGAAAATGGGTTTAGGACTAACTTCAACGAAAGAACACTGCACACTGACAGCCACCGTCGGACTTGTGTTTTGTACGGACGCCGTATTTTGTTCCGTCCAGTTCAATGAGTGGGGAGAGGTCTCAACAAAGACAGCATCCTCTTCAGTTCCTCAAGGCCTCTGCTTAGGAGATCTGACTACTTACACCCTTACGTGCAGACATTTCACCAAAAGAAATTCGTACAAACAGATACAAACTCACATTGCAAACAAGTGGTCGGGGCGTCTGATTTTGTTTGAGGGGAATTTGATAACCATAAGCGATGACCCAGGATAAAAAGTGCCCCCAATGGTGCAGGTCAGCAACCTTTCTGTGATTCCACATACCTAGAGAGTTGCTTGTGGACACTGAGAGGTTAATGGCCTGGCTCAGCCAATAGACAGGGGTGGGATTTGAACCCAGGTGCACCTGACTCCAAGAATGGCCCTCTACGCAATGGGCCACACTATTTATTAAATTTAAATCCAGCCACACTAAGGTGAACACTAACTTTCACTGCTCTCCTTTGTGGCCACCAAATACCCAAAATATTCCAAGTTCTAAAGCATTTTTGGAAAACAAACTGCTCAAAATATCGTGACACTTACTTGCTACCATTAAACATTTTATTCAGCGCATCTCTCGAGATAATATGGCCACACACCAATTTCATAGGTGGATTATTATCTGTTGTTTGCTGACGAAGAATGGGACAAGCGAATATAGAGTGATACCAGCACTTTTTACCAAGGTCCACTTCAATCTGTTTAAAAAAAAAAATAAGTAGATAAAGAAGGTGATTAATAAATGAGTGACTAAATAAATAAGGAGAGGGTTGAAACCAATAGCTGACTACCTTTCTAAAATGTCTGCCTGCTTTATGCGTCTACCAAGTATCTAAATGTGACTTTCCTTCTCCTTCCTCTACCTTAGACACACATTCTTCGTGCTCTGCCCCAATGTCACTGGCAGTTTTAATGAACTTTCAAAGCCAAAAGCATGAGAGTGCTTTTGATGCCAACCTGTAAGGACTTGGAGCCAAACCAACAGCCATGATAAAGAAATTAAATTGGTGAAATTCCTACAGTGTGGACCCTGTGGAGAAACAAGTGATCCCAAGAGAAGAGTTTTCAGTAAACAGCAATGGTCTGAACACTCTCTGCGAGCTCTAGGCCCAGCCCCTCTGGGCCACATTCCCATCGTCTGTAGTTCTTCCCTGCACGTGTGGTGCGCCTGCCTTCTCCACAAGCTCTTCCCTCGCTCCAGCTGCTTCTGACAGGCACCCAATGGGGAAGCCTGCATTACAAGGGTGTGTGCATTTAGAATGCCGTCTCAGGACTCCTGGAGTCCAGGGCAGAGACTCTGGGCCTACTCAAAGGCTTCTTCCATTGCCACGAATGGTAAAGCCTTCTTGGTTCTGAGGTGTGCCCCAGCTGCAATTAAGGAGGTGCCTCCAGGTGAAGCTAAAAAGCCCAAACCAGGACTCTCCCGGGTGGCAGGGTCAACAGTGGAGCCACAATTGTCAAAACAATGAAAGCCAGCATCCCAGGACTTCGGGAAAGTTAAGGAGGATCACCTTGGACAATTCTTCTATTTTACGGAAGAGGAAAGTGAGGCCTAGAGTTGAGGAAACAGTCCCAGGTTAAACAGACGGGGAGTGATGGAGCTGGGATTCAAGGCACGTGTTACGCACTTCCCCTGTGCCAGGTCACTGTGCTAAAGGCTGGGGTACAAAGGAATGTAAACACATGGTCCCTGCCCCCAAAGAGAGCCCATTCCAACGGGGAGACGCCACACAAGTAACTCGGTACAAAGAAGATGCAGACGAGAAAAGGCTTGAGCAGCCTGGGCACATCCAGGAAAGGCATCCTGCAGAAAGGAGGGTCTGGGCGGAGCTTCAAGGAAGCCGGGGAACTAAGAGGCAGCGGGAAGGGGCAGAACACCAAAGATGTGGTGAGATAGCTGGGGGCCAAGACCCAGAGCTGGGGGACGATGCAACATGCAGTGAGAAGAGCAGCAAGCAGGCCCGTGTGGCCAATCCCGGGGTGAAGAAGGTGGAAGGAGCCCGAAGGGAAGAAGAGCTTGAGGTGACAAACTGAGGACAGAGAGTGATGTGGTCAGACACACACTGTAGCAGATGGACTGGACTGGCTGAGGGCCTGCACTAGGACCAGAGCCGTATGAATGGAGAATAAGAGACGCCGTGAAGGTAGATTTAGCAAAAGCTTGGAGGTGGAAGCGTAAGAGGATGTGAAAGGGGGTTCGTGGACGAAAAACCAGCAGAGAAGGAGCAGCTGGACAGGTAAAGGACAGCTAGGAGAGAGCCGCATCACAACAAGTAAGAGAGGAAAGTATACCCCAAAGGTGGGGATCAGAGAGGTCAAATGAAGGCACCCAAGTCTGAGCACGACCCCTGACAGACCTGTCCACGGCGCTGAGCTGAGGACGCTGGCACCCAATATTCTGCATCTGATTTGGTGTAAAAGAAGTGCCACCAATAAAAAACCTTTACCATCCAAAGACAAAGCGCAGCCCAATGAGTCCTGAGAGCCCCTTAGGCCACTCCCTCCTCCCATCAATCCTAACAACATAAAGCTGAATTCGATTGGCCATAAAGATGATTACCTGTGAGGTCAGAAAGTCCAAGTCAAAACACAGGCTGTCAGCCCCTCTAGCAATGACCTGATAACTCACGGGCAGGCCCAGAAGACACTTTCCCAAGGTGTAACTAAGAAGGAGCTGAGAGGGACAGGAAGGGAGCTCAGGGGCCTCCCCGTGGCCTATCTCAGTGACCTTAGAAGAATCTCTCCATGCATAGCATCAAATGGCCAGATGGTAACTGTCAGCCCCTGTTGACCTGGGGAGCTCAGTGCCTGCTGACAGCCCAGGAGAGATGTGCACACCAGGCATTTTGCCACTTGTCCCTCATCTTACAGAGACTGTGATGCTTCCATCGCCCCTGTGTTTTAGCCAGTTTTCTTGTGTTTGTCTGCCTTTCATCATCCCTATCCAGTATGATGGCAGGTAATCTTTCAGATGCCACAAAAATCCTACTCCCTCCTCTCCCTTCAGCTGGTTCTGCTAAGCTTCTACAAACCCGAGCAATCCCCAGTCACTGTGGACTTTGGCAGAAAGGGAAAAACCACCCCCTGACCCCTAACTCACAGGCAGCTCGTCCTTCTGGTTCCAAACGCCCGTGCACTGCCTCTGCTCAATCACAGCCTTGATGTTAATTAGAGCCGGCAGGGCCACGCAGCCTGCTGAGAAACTGGCAGGGAGAGAGGGACAGAACAAAAATCAGAGCAATTTTAGACACTGCTGTGGTCATCTCTGATCAAAATACTATGGAAACCCAAGGATATAGCAAATTCTTACGAGTCCTCACATTGGATTTGGAAACTGAACAGAACCAGATTTTTAACCACAGAAACAACAGTCATAAAGATAATAGCTCCTGATGACAAAGTAAGTGACAGGCAGCAGCTGACGTAATCTTCACAGTTACCTCTGAGATCTGTCCTGTTTGCCTCATTTGACAGCGGGGGAAACTGAAGGGCATTTAGTCCAACCTATACATTATACAGAAGGTCACAGCTAAGTGACCTTGTCCTAAGGGGCAGAGGTAAAATGGGAACCCAGGTCTCCCAATCCAGTGGCTCCTCCCAGGACCCCACACTGTCCCCTGCTTTTCACTTACTCTTCTCCAGCTACTGAAAAGCAATACAAAGCCATCTCTATCAGGCTATACTTTTATTTTTTAAAAGCACCATGCATTTGTCCCACTCTCTTTCCCCCAAAATGAGCTGCATCAGATGGCACTATCTGCACCCCTGCTTTTGGGCCCACTTTTCCTTTACCAACAAGCTCCTCGGTTTCCAGCCTGGCTAGGTTTGCACAAGGACAAGTTCCACTTCTCTGGGGGTACTACTAGGACATCTCAGCTAGCTCCATTTTTAAAGTAAGTAAACAGAGGAGTCTAAGCCAGGTGTCAAACATACAGCCCCCAATACTCCCAAGAGCAGCTGAAGCCAGACTAAAATGGATGTGGGAAGTATTTGGCAAAACAAAGAAAAACACAACAAAACACACATACCATTTCACTTTCTCACTAAGTCAATGGGTGGCCCCCGTTTATATTTGAATCTGACACCCCTGGTCCGAACATAAACAAAGGAATATATCAAAGATCTGGCAAGAAGAACAGCTGTTTTCAGGAGCTCTGTCTTCTGCCACATCAGCCAGGACAGCTTGCTATGAGAGAACCCTTCACTGAGCCCTCTATACAAAGGATGCTGATCTTCCTTAAACAGAGCATCCCAGGCCGCACCACCTTCATTTTCTGTTATCAACTCACTCAGGGGCTCAGGCTATCAGAAAGGACTAGTCTAAGAGCCAGGTCAGCCTTCCAGGAACTCAAATTCCAACGTTCCCTCAGAGGCCATCCAATTCAAACCCCCTCATTTTACAAACAAGGACAAAAATACCAGGAGAGGGGAAGTGACTTCCCATATCACAAAGAGAGTAAAAAAGGTAGCCTAGATTCACACCCCGAGCATCTGAGGCCAAACCCAGGGCTCTCTCAAAGCTCACGGGTCTGAATCATACTTGCAAGCCTGAGGAATCACAAGTCACTCTGCAGCAGCAAGTGCCCCTGCTAACTGTGAACGAAGAGCTCATTCTGCAGGCCTGCTCTTTGGGGTCAGAAGCTTCGCATACCTTACTGTGAAAGCGGCTGGGCTAGGGCTCAGCGGCAGACAGAGAAGGGGAGACCGACAAAACCCTCTGACAGAGCGTGGCCAGAACCCTTCACAGTGACACGTGGAGGACGAGGAAGGGAGGCTGACCGGGCCATACCTGACACTGAGCGGCGACTCCACCGACAGTCCCAAAAGGGTGCAGGCGTCCCGAGTGAAGATGTCGCAGATGTCTGCCCACTGGTTAGCATCAAGAAGGTGAACATAAGGCGAGTTCTCGATGCCCTGCCTCAGATACACGAGGCTCCCCATCAAGACTTGAATATCTGAAGGAGAAAAGTAAAGTCAGCAGCAGTAAGGCTGGAACGGAAATGTTAACTCCATGATGGGTTTAAGCTTGCTTCCTTCACGTATGGGAAGAGGAGAGAGACAAAAAACAAACTTTCTAATCAATGTGTTCTGAAATTGTGCAATCATTCTTTTAAAAAAACAATGCTGATCGGGGCAGCTAGGTAGTGCAGTGGATAGAGCACTGGCCTGGGAGTCAGGAGGGACCCGAGTTCAAATCCAGTCTCAGACACCCAACACTTACTGGCTGTGGGACCCTGGGGCAAATCACTTAACCCACTGCCTTACATGAACGAACGAATGAACGAATGAATGAATGAATGAATGAATGAATGAACGAATGATAGTGCAGCTCTTGCTTAGTCCTCCCTCCTTTTCCTATGAAAAAAACAATTTCCATGTGATTCCATGGGCGTGGAACAGAGAAGAAAAGAAAGGCTTTATTTACACACGCAACGTGCACATCACTGGACGGAATAATTACGTTTGCATTAATTCAGACTGGCGGTTAGCAAAGCTGGCTCTGGGGGCAGACTTGGCTAGCGGCTCCCAAACTGCAGTCCGGACTGTCAGGACCGCCAGATCCCCATACCCACTCCCCCGACCACCGACTCTGCCTGAGTAGAAAGGGCCAAATGGAGCAGGAAGAGCCGCCACCAGGGGACACGCACCTGACTGCCTCAACGGTCCAATACACACTAACAGGGTAACTCAAAAAGACTTCCAACCTGTGTGTTCATGGTTTTTTAGAAGCCACGGATATTTAACCTTTTTGCCTATGGTCCAATCTCAGGGATTTAAAATTTGGTCACCCAGATCTCTCTGACACACCCAAAGTGTCATCTTTGTCAGTCAACAAGCATTTATTAAAAGCTGGCTATGTGCCAGGCATCACGTTGAGCACCAGGGATATAAAGAAAGGCCAAAACACAGTCCCTCCTCACATGATTTTTTTTTGGGGGGGTGCAAACAATGATATGCATGCAAGACATGCACAGTGTAAACTGGAGATAATCTCAGAGGGAAGGCCCTGGCATTACAGGGGGAGAGGGAAGGAGCAGGAAAGGCTTCTTGTGGTCAACGGAATCTGAACCGAGTCTCAAAGGAAGCCACGAGGCAGAGGAGAAAAGGGCCAGGGAACGAAAAGGTGCAGAGTCAAAGGCAGAGACGGAGGAGAGGAACGGCAGTGAGGCAAGTACTGCAGGATGCATGGAGGAGCGTGAAGCATGTGAATCCTACAAAGGAGCCATTCGAAGCAGCTGACGAGGGGAACGGTGTGGCCAGAGCTGGGCCTCACTCAGGAAGGGCACTCTGGCAGCCGAGCACGGACGGAGCAGACGACACCCCTCCTCCGGTCCCCCAGCAGGCGGCTGCAATAGCCCAGGCATGAGGTCCGCACCAGTGTAGTGACAGGGTCCGAGGGGATGGCGGTGGCATGGACGCAGAAGCAACGGCCTGAATGTGGGAGGACAGCGGTATGTATCCTCAACAGTGAGAGGAATACTGGAAAGACAGGAGGGTTTGGGCAGGCAGAGATTTCTGTTTTGGGCATGCTGAATTCAAGAAGTCCAACAGGTGTTTGGTGATAGAGGACTCTAGATCAGGAGAGAGCCTAGGTTACACAGATACACAGATCTTGGGCATCACCTGCATAAAGATAACGGAACCCTAATGAGATCACCACGGTGACACAGTAAAGAGGGAGAAAGAGGGCAGGAGTGAACCGAAAGGTAGGAGTGAGCCCACCTTTAGTGGGCATGATCTACATGAAGATTAAGCAAAGAGGGGAGAGGTCAAAAGAGTATGCAGGGAAAGGCTGCAGAGGTCAAGAAGGAAGAGGCATGAGAAAAGACCACTAGACGTGGCAAGGAAGAGGTCATGGCACCTCGGGAGACAGCAGTCTCCGTTGAATTATGAGGTCAGAGGCTTAGAAAACAGTGAGATGATCATTACAGGGTGTCAACAGTGGACAGCTTTGTCAAGGAGTCTTGGCCACAAAGGAAGGACAGAGAGAGGCTAGGAAGCACTGATCATAGGATATATCTAAGAACACGGACAACAAGAGCACGGGGCAGCAGAGAAGTATGCAGCAGCCAGAGAAGAGAGATGACAGAGAGCGCAATGGCCTGGAGAAGTGGAGCGAATGTCACTGGCAAGAAGATGGGCCAGCTTCTTCCTGTGAGACCTGGACGAAAGAAGCAGCAGCAGCAGAGAGCCAAGCAATGGGATGTAAGGAGGGAGGAAAGGAAGTTCTGGCAAGACAAGGCCTCAATTTCTTTAGTGATGTATGAAATGCTGCTGCTTTGCTTTATTATCCAATGACTCAGGATGTCTAAACCAGTTTCCAAGGAAGCCCCTGTCTTGCCCAGACCCACCACGTTTCCACACACTCGGGACATATGGGGCCACTTACCTTTCTGATGGTTTAGGGCAAATGGCTGGAAGTTTTTCGCATACTGCAAGGCTTCCCGCTGGTTTGCAGTTCCACCCATTAATAAGCTAATGAAATACAATCTGTGCAGCTTGAACTCCAAGGAGCTGTTCTGGGCCATGAGCATTTCCCGATTTGATACTGCCCATCTAGAGACAGAGGAAAGAAAAGCTGTCATTAAGTGACACGCAGAGCAACCTGGTAACAGCACGTCACTGCCAGATTTCTGAAGGCGCCCTGCCACCTAGTGGGGTGTCTGTAGTGATGCCAACTCCTGGAATGGCTTTCTTAGCTTGACTCTGAAGAAGGTGGTGGCTACTCAAAACCAAACCCAGAAAAACAGAACCAGCGCACAATCAAGGCAGCTTTGGCCTTCCTAAGTACAAGGTGAGACTTCCCAAGCCAACCCCGCATCCTGCTGCTGATAACATGCAGGAGGACCCCAGCACATGAAGCCCCACCCCGGGTATCTTGACTCAGAAGATTCACTGAGCAGCAGGGCATTAAAAGGACCTGATAGGCCTATGAAAGCTGAACCACGTCCAGACCTGCTCCCATTTTTCCACCGCCAGTCTGCTCACAAATGATAGGAAGGATGCCAAATCGTGAAGGCTGACCATGCTTGAAAACACATCATTCAAGACAGAGACAACTTCACCTTCATTTTACGGAGACTTGGTAGAACAAATGGGCAATTACGGGTGCCTGGCGCATGGCAGGCATTTAATAAGTGCTCCCTGGCTGAATGTACTGAACCACGTTTCCACCCACGGCCCAAACACTTTCAGGTTCCTATAGACATCCATGTAAAATGAGGGGGTCTTAAGATCCAGACCCAGGAATCTCTGCCATCTGCATGGGGACCAGGGCAGGGCGAAGGGGAGAAGGAGATGGTGTGAGAAGAGAGAGGGCCAGCGACTGCAAGGTAACAGAAACAACCTTGCTCTGGAGCTGGTGCCTCGGCTCCTGTACACACATCCCTACGTGTGTATGTGAACGAAGAAATACCGCTTTTATCAAGCCCTTCTTAGGTAGAAAGTACCATGCTACAAGGTGGGGATGCCCCAGAGAAGTCAGCCGGTCTCTGCTCCCCAAGGCTCTCATGTTCAGCTGCCATTCAGATGACCAGTCCCACCGTCTTTAGGGTACAGCGGCAAAGCCAATGGAAATGCCTCTTCTTCATGGTGACGTCTGCTAATAAAATCCCCTCGGTTTCAGGTGCTGACCCAGCAGACGTGCTCAGGTTTGGGGGTGCTGCCCCCACAGGGTTCCTCCATCCTCCTGGCCACCCACCAGCTCATAGGTCAGCAGGCATTGCTATGAGGAAGGAGGGCCTGCCTCTCTACAACAGTTTTTGCTCTCAATGAAGGCTGCTGGCTAGGCCGAAAGCAGGTCCAGGGCCATTCCCAAAACTCTGTTGTCCCTAATGGGTCCTGAGCCGTCCCCATCAGAGACAGAGGGGAGCTGATAGTCCAGTGACACATGCCGCCTCCTGTCTCTGCCTCAGGAGGCCGCCTGCCCGCTGCAGAGCAGTAAGCTGGCAGTATATGTTGTCTCTCGGCTAGCCTGTAAGCAGGAACTATTTTCACTTCTGCCTCTGAATTGCACGGTGCCTAGTACAGTGCCTGGTATGCAGAGGGCACTGAACAAATGTTTGTTAAATGAGCGAGCTCAAATCTTGTCTCTGCTTCATCCTCCCGAGTGAAATGGGCAGACGCAGCGTATCTTCTTACCCCTAAAACAAGGGGGTTGCTCTAGACGAACCTCTAGGTCTCTCCCGACTCTGTATGCCCTATGTTATGCTCAAGCATGCCAAGCAGCAGAGGCCAGCAGTCTGGTGGGCGGGGCACGCTCACTAGACACAGGGGCAGACCACAGTAGGTGCCAACAAATACCACAATTATGGGGAACAGATGAAGAGAACCTACATACATATGTCAAGTGTTTGCCAAACCTTCAAGTGCCACATAAATGCTGGCCAAGTAGAACTGCAGTCAGGAAGACCCGAGTTCAAATCCAGCCTCAAATACTTTCTAGCTGTGTGACGACCCTGGACAAGTCATTTAACCTTTGTCTGCCTCAGTTTCCTGAGGAGGATGACAGAGTAGAGAAGAAAAGTCAGGACAGAAACACGCCCAGGAGAGAAGGGACTGATCACAGAATCATAGCTTTAGGACTGGAAGGACTGGACCTGGCAGGTCATCTGACAGCGATGAGAATCTGAGGCCCAGGGATGACCCTGGCGACTTATAAAGTGGCCTTTGAATGGATGGTGAGTGGAAGGGGGTGGGAGCACTCGGTGGCTCAGACACCAGACAAGGGCAGTCAGGGCGAGGGGGGGGGGGGGCAGCGCGGAGCCAAGATCCCCATTCAGACCACAAGCCTGCGACAGGAGCAGGCAGGCCCGGCCAGGGAGCCGGGGGCAAAGCTCAGAGAGGTGGGCGGAGAGGCAGCACGCACAAGGCCACCGGGCTGCAGCTGGGAGAATGGATCACCGCCCAGCCCGGCCCCACCTGCTCCACCTGCATGAGGATGGCCAGGACCCGGACTTGCAGAAATCCAGTAAAACTCTGACAAACAAAGCCAAACCTTCTCGTCCTACACACTGAACGTGATGGGGAGAGAGCCCCTGGCCTCGGACACAGGCGTGGGGATTCCCGGTAAGCTTCCAAAGGCCTCAGCTGCGCCCGGCAGTGGCAGCAAGCCGCTCCAAAAGCACATAACGAGTAGGTGGTTATTAATTCTGAGTGGGAGGGGACAGGAGAGGACAGTCTTAGGTAACCTCAGGTAACCCGAACCGTCGGCCATGACACAGCCCTGGAGAGAAGCAGAAGCGGACCAAACAGCCCCAGGAGCCTCCGACGCGGCCCCACTAACTACACGAGAAGCAGTGGGGGGAAGACTCAAACCAGGGAAGAGCCCAGCTGCCTGATTAACTGAACGCACGGGCAACAGTGGCCTTGGTTTACCAAACAGGACGCTCACCGGGGGGGCAAGGGAAAAACGTTCTTGTCCACACCTCTATAGCTGAAGATCACTCATTCTTAGAGGCTTTCTTTGGATGGAAAGAGCAGCAGACTTGGCATCAGAGGGCCCAGGCCTGACCTCCAGCTCTGCCATTCACCCAGTGACCTTGAGCCACACTCTGCCTCATCTGTCTGGGCCTCAGTTTCCCCATCTATTAAAGGGGGGTGGTGGCTGAGATGGCTTTTAAGATCCCTTTCGGCTCTAATGGTCTGAGAGTCGCCATTCCAAATGATTCTCCTTATAGTAATACAGCTATAGACGAAAGGGACTAAGAGTTAAGACCAAATATATACTGACCCCGCGACTATCCTGGAAGTTGTCCTACCCTACTCCCTCCACAGAACCCTGGCATTTAGAGCTGAAAAGGACTGAGACGCCAGTCCAACCTCTGTAATATTAGTTGCAGTAGTGGATAGAGTGTTGGGCCTGGAGTCAGAAAGATCAAATTCAAATCCAGCCTTGTGTGACCTCAAGAAAGCCACTGTACTTCTACCTCAGTTTCCTCAACTGTAAAATGAAGAGTATAGCACCCACCTCCTGGGGCGGCTGTGAGGATCAAATAAGCACATAGGCAGAACTACAAAACCTTAATTTTAATTTAATATGGTTCTTCTCCTAACCCCTCCTCCAGCTAATGGGGGTTTCAGAATATAGATTTTACTGTAATCAGCAGCCCCAAACCCCAAAGAGATGACAGACCCCTCCGCACCAGAAGGCAAACCAACCAGCTCTGGGTCAGGGCACTTGCCCAAAGCTGCCTCAGAGCCAGAAAATGGCCTTTGGGAGGTCGGTGCTATCAACATATCAGCTTTGCTCACACTACTTCATTCTTCCAACACACGCTTCCCCCAAAGAGAGAAAGACACACCACATGTTTAGGTGACCAAGTGCGAGGCAACTCACAAGCTACACAGACACGTAAGGATCAATCATCACAATTTCCAAAGATCCCCAAACAGGGCACCACTAGCTCTCTACTCCCCACCCTCCAAGGACGAGCTCACATTCACCTGTTCTCTCTCCTCAAGTGCCCCATTCAGACAGCTATTTCATCTCCTCTCAATTATAAGAGGGAGTTTTTTCCAACACTGAAACCAACAGAAGGTGCAGTGACCAGGGTCTGGTCCTCCTCAGCTGTCAGGGCCCCAGGCACGGGGCTGTCCTTCAAACTCTCACCACCCGTCACAGGCATCACCCATCAGTGGGCGTTCTGGAGACACTGCCACCTCCCTGCCTATCCTTCTGGGTCTCACAGCAGCTGAATGTCTTTCTCCCCTAGCCCTGTCTCTCAGAGGGGAGTGCAGAGCAGTATTTTCAATCAGATCAAAGAACAAGCAGCCCATGTGTACTTGGAAAATACCTCTTTTCAGATCCATGTGTACAAAAATATTCATAGCAGCTCTTTTTGTGGTGGCCGAGAAATGGAAATTGAGGGGATGCCCATCAGCCAGGGAATGGCTGAACAAGCTGTGATATATCGATGTAATGGAATACTATCGTTCCATAAGAAATGATGAGCAGGCAGATTTCAGAAAAATCTGGACAGACTTCTTTGGACTGATGCTGAGTGACGTGAGCAGAACCAGAAGAACATTGTACACGGTAACAGCTACACTGTGTGATGACTAACTTTGACAGACCTGACCCTTCTCAGCAATGCAAGGATCTAAGACATCTCCAAAAGTCTCATCCAGAGAAATAACTATGGAGTTTGGATGTAGATCAAAGCATATTATTTGTTCTTTTTATTTCTTCTATTTTGTTTTGTTTCCTTTTTCTTGTGGTTCCTCCTATTGGTTCTAATTCTTCTTTACAACATGACGAATGTGAAAATATGTTTAACAAGAATGTGAGTGTAGAGCCTATATCAGATTGCACACAGTCTTGGAGAAGGGAGAGGAGAGGATGGGGAGAAAAATATAGAATTAAAAATCTTATGGAAGTGAATGTTGAAAACTAAAAATTACTTAATTTTAAAAAATAAAATAGCTTCTTTTCCCTGTCCATGCTGTTTCCTTCAAGTCACTATGTATAAAGACATCTGTATGCAACTTTGATTACAATTAATCCAAGAAGGTTGATCTCAACCTCTCTAGCCCAAGAGACTGCTGCTGCATCAAAC